AAAGGATGGCTCTTTTAGGTAAAGTGTTTGGAAATTAGGCTCATGAAAGATGGCCTTTGATCCTTGAGCTTTTCACTTTAGACCTCAAAATGATGACAATCATTCAACCTAAATTAGCAAGATTTCCTTTTTCTCTCCTTTTTACTCTCTCTCTCTCTCTCTCTCTCTCTCTCTCTCTCTTTTAAAAATTTTAAATCTTTTCTCACCCTTTCTTCTTGTATGAGTCTATCACGTTTGAATGCAACTTTGGCCTTTATTTTGCAACACATCATTTAGTTCAAGGGAAGAATCTAGATCACTATCATCTTCCTTGACATGGATTTGGATTATTTGAAACATATACCAATCCTGAAATGGCATCATTGTATTCAGATTCATCATTAGCAAAGCTTGAAAGCAAAAAGAAACATGGATAGCATGTGAGGAAAGCATATATATGCAAGTAAATTTTTTTTGAGTATATTAATGGCATCAAATGATGTCTCAATGGTGAATGATGGTTTGGACAATGATTAACAAGAAGAGTTGCATCAAGTTTAATGGATGGTGATATGACAACATGTGTTACTGAATTGTAAAGATTGGAAAACTAATTAGCATGATAGTAAATATTTCAAAGAATATAAAAGAGCTTGTTATTCTCTCCTTTCATGTATCCACAAGCTGAGCTACTAGAAAGCTGACTCATCTTACTCATGGATGAATGAAGCAAGAAAAGCTTGACTCTCCAATTGGTCAAAGTGCCCCAAGGCAGAAGTAATGGTCATGTCAAATAGGGGTTCATCCTTAAGAGCAATAATACTCAAATTTCCCCATATCCTAGATTTGCCCCCTCATTCATTGAATCTAGATCCACATGTCTCATGTGTAAGTCCACTTCAACATCATATCTTCGTGAGTTTATAAGAGCATGTTGAAGGTTGCCTTTTAGATGGATGATGCATTGCTCCAAAGAGAGAGAAAACATAGGGAGACTGTCATGCCTGACTTTTTTTTCTTTTTTTTTTTTTTGCTTCTTGAAGTAGTTTATGATACTTATCTGCAAACAAAAAGTAAAAGAAAAATAAACAAAGTTAGAATAATGTTAGAAGTCATCCCATAATTTTGCATGATTTTGTGCTTCAACAATTGTTATATGGATTCACACATCGTCAATTTCCAATCCTTAATGTAATATCCCAAATTTTCAGGAATTTTATCATTTAAGTTAGGGACTTATTTTGGGAAAAATATTCTTTGGGGCCTAATAGTGAAAATTCTGAAACTTGAGGGATTTAAAAGAGTAAAAATTTGGATAAGGATCAGCTAATTTTTTTCCTTCTTTCTTCCCCAGCCATTTTCGCGTTTCTGCTCTTCCTTTTTCTCCCCTGCAGCCGAACAAGAACCAAGCTGCCAACAACAATCTTCTTGAGGAAACCAGTAGAAAGCTTGGATATTTCTCCTTCTTTTCTTGTTCTAGGACTGAAATTGAACCCAGAATTCTTCCCCTTGCAGAGAAATTTCCAGATCTACTCTGCTCTGCTCTTCCTCCCCTGTCCGTCGGTTTCTGTTGGGTGCGAATTTCTGGGCATTTTTCGGTAAGCTACAGTCATGGATCTCCTCATTTTAGCCTTAATTTAACTTGGGTAACTCTAAGTTCCTCTTGTTCCTTCAATTTTGGGTTAATTCCGTGAGTCCCCTGTAGAATCGTCGTCGGCTTCGTCCCCTCGCCAGGTCCGGTTTTGCAGCTGGAAAAATTCTAGTATGTAACAACTACAATAAGTTCGAATTTTTAGTCCATTTAGCTGTTGTTTTGTTGAATTTATCCATGTAGTGGCTGCCTTTGCACTGTCCGAAAATTTGTTGAAAAATGGGGACGAATTTCGGTAGTAATTAGAGCATAATTAAGCTTAATTCATGTATAAATTGCTTGAGTTGGCTGCTATGATTTTGGAGAAAAATCCTGAGTGTTTTAGCCCCTGTTTTTGCCAAAGCCGTGCTCTTCCCTTTTGCCGTGAGATTGGGAAACCATTTATATATGTATTTGTGTATATAAATGTATATATACACAATCCGGTCAATGAAAATAAATATTGAAATGAAATTGCTTAGAGAATTAATTTTTGGATATTTGGGTTAGGTTCTGGATATTTGGGTTAGGTTCTTGATCTTCGGGGTACTTTAGTACGTGGATTGAGTCCTCAATTTTATGTGATTTGAGATAAGTAAATTATGGTAACGCTCTTTGATTTCAAAGCATGTTTTAAATCATTTTTGAGATGGTGGCAAGGTTTAAATTGATTTTGTTGATACCGGGCATGATTGGTTTGAAATGGAATTATTTTCATTTTCATTGAGTAGAGCATACCTACTTGGAATTTACTTCATTGCTCTGATGATTTAAGAATTCTTGTAAATTATGATTTTTGTTAAATCCATGCTCACATGGGAATTTTTCGGTTTATTATAAAATTTGAGATCGATTGTGAATTACGGATTTTTCTGTAAATCCTGCATGGCTTTGTCTTTGAGATGATCATGTTACCCGTGTGCCCGCTAGTGGGAGTAAATGCTAGCACATATAGACATGTTTATTGATAGGACCGATTCATTTTGTAATCTTGCCAATGGAATAATACATTGGTAATTTTTTACGCCTACCAATGGGATAACACATTGGTAATTTCTGACGCCTACCACTGGGCGAATACATCGGTAATTTCTGACGCTTGCCACTGGGCAAATACATTGGTAAATTCTGACGCCTGCCAATGGGCAAACACATTGGTAATTTTTTACGCCTGCCAGTGGGTGTTAAACGCTGGCCATGACTTATAGACGAGACTACTATTGGATTTTGTTTTACATTAACGGTTTTTTCATTGAACGCTTTGTTATTGAACTGAATTTGATTTTACATTAACGATTTGTCATTGAACGCTTTGCTATTGAACTGAATTTGATTTTGTATTAACGGTTTATCATTGAACGTTTTGTTATGTTAAATTGTTTATCTGGCATGCTTAAAATTTTATCCACGAGCTATCTATATTTTTCCTTACTGAGATATTTTATCTCACCTAGTTTTCCTTGTCCACTATTTCAGGAAGCGAAATCAAGGACGGGGAAAAACGAGGGGAGTGACAAGTTAGAAGGCTAGCCATCTTGTAAATCGAACATAGATTTTAGATATAAATCATGATCTTGTAAGCTAGACTTTATTTGGAGATTTTATGATATCAGAGCAAATTTTATACTTTTATCTTCAGATTTTGTGATATCAGATTGTGGTATGATAAGTTCCAAGCCTTGTGCATTTGTGGGACCCTCTCATAAGTGTACGGCATCTGCCACGTCCCAGATTTGGGTTCTGAGGCATGACAGATTGAGTGGTATCAAAGCTTAGGTTTAAATTAAGAGCTTAGGTTTAAATTAAAAGCTTAGGATTAAATTAAGCTTATACAGATTGAATGGTATCAGAATTTAGGTTTAATTAAATACCTAGGTTTAATTGAATATCTAGGATTTGTTTAGAACTTGGCTGGCTAGTAGATTTTAGAACCGTAATGAGATGAGTGATGGAGTTATATAAGGGACAATTCTGATTTATGTTGCCTGAATTTTCTAATCCATTTTGATGAGATGGTAATCTGATTGTTCTTGTTTTCTACCTTCATACCCTATGTAGATTCATGAAATTAATCTTGTCCGCCATTTTCTTAAGACCTTGTTTTGAAACTTGGTCATTTTCTAATAGTCTGCACTTGTTTAGACTTGTTACTTGAATAGAATTTTTGTACGCTCTTTTTCCACAATTGTAAAATTTGGGGAGTTGTAGAGATCTTTTGTTATTGATTCTGTTGGTCTCTACAGCATAGTTGGTTGAGAAATTTGTTTTGTTTGTCACATGACCAGTGGAAGATGGGCAAACCCTCTACTTAGTAAGAGATTCAAGGCTATTTTAGCAAATGTTGTGTGTTTTCTAGATGCGTTTTAGGAGCTAGATAACTTGGTAATTTCATTGCTCATTGTCTTTCTGAAACTCTTATAGTGAAATTTCACTTTTTCCATTTAGAGCTTCATGGTCTTTTCATGTGGCTCATTCTTCTATATTGGTTAATCAAAAACAGTGATCATTCAATTGAAATTGCCGTGTTTTTGTGAAGATTGGCAAGTTGTCATAAAGTTAAACTCTCTATTGTTGCTAATCTCTACATTCTTGATACTTGGAAATTGCTTTAAACTCTTGAAATCCATCTTGAATCTTTCTTGAGATTGCTTTGTACTTGTTCTTGAAATTGAAATCCAAAGGAAATGGATAATGATTATTGAAATCCTCATTATCTTGATACTTGTCTGAAATTAATTCTTACACTGTTCTTGGAATCTTATCTTTGAACCTTGCCTGGAGCAAAGTCATGTTAGCATCCTTTTCTTGAAAATCAATTGATATTTGGTTTTTGGAATCTATTTTGAATTGTCCTTGAAAACCATTCTTGTCTTGACTTTTGCTCTTACTCAAATCCTGCATATTCTGCTAGTTCTTATTTTAGTATACATGTTGATCTTCTTGATTTCGATTTTTGTTCATATGGACACCTCTCTAAGAGGGGTGATGATTATTAGAAAATACCTATATGAGGCATCCTAATTCTTGTCTCTTGCAAGTGTTAATCTTTGTATTCTTGATGTCTTAGCTTTGACTGGACTATAGGATGTCTAGGATGACTTGATTGTAAATCTGCTTAGCCTCCATGGGCTACGAGGTGAAGGGGTAGTCTTTGAAGTACCTGATGCCCTAGAGTTTTGTTCCAAGAGAAATGGTTCTTTTATCTGGCTGCTTTGATTTTTGTTGCCTTTTTAATTAAAAGATAGTAATATTCTAAGTATCTTGATCCCCACTATTGATTATTCTGTTATTTAATTCATGTTACTTGGGGTGTTAGATCTTGACATCCTGGTCATATCTGCTCTTGAATCCGTGTTCTGGTTGTCATTATTGAAATCTCTTTTGTGGGCCTAATCCTTGAATTCTATTGCTTGTTTCATGGTTAACTCTTGTCTCTCAATTTTGACTGCTTGGTTAAATTTGATCTTGATTCTTGGTGAATGCCGTTTTGTTGCTGAATTTTTGAGGCATTCTGCCTTGCACTCTTATGTTCCAGTATTCTTCCAAGCATTCATATTTTCCACTGATTTCATGCTGGTGCTATTTTGGAAATTTTACATGTCATTTGATGGAATGTATAAGGCATCCATGCACTCATTCATTCATTCATGATTCGTACTTCCATTGGATGCTTATCCGTCTTTGATAGAGTTCAAAATTTTGTTGTACTCGTCTTTAAATCCATGCCATACTTTGCCAACTCATCTTTGTGTTGGGTTCATAGTGTAACCCCACAATTGTTCTTTTGTGGCTTTGGCAGGATTTATTTCTATTCCTTGTGCTTCCCATATCACCCCAGCCTCCAGTAGCTTGTTTCATGGTAAATCCGGATAAGTGGTTAATGTTCTGCTTTTATGATTAGTTATGGTTTGATATTAGAGTGGCGTAGCGGAAGTGTGGTAGGCTATGTTCTGTTCATAAAGAGTTGGTGAGGCATTTGTTTTGTCTTGGATTTTGTGAAGCCATTCACCACTCGAAATGATCCTCAATTTGAGTTTTGGGGACAAAACTCCTTCTTAGGAGAGGTGATGTAATATCCCAAATTTTCAGGAATTTTATCATTTAAGTTAGGGACTTATTGTGGGAAAAATATTCTTTGGGGCCTAATAGTGAAAATTCTGAAACTTGAGAGATTTAAAAGAGTAAAAATTTGGATAAGGATCAGCTATTTTTTTTTCCTTCTTTCTTCCCCAGCTATTTTCACGTTTCTGCTCTTCCTTTTTCTCCCCTGCAGCCGAACAAGAACCAAGCTGCCGGCAACAATCTTCTTGAGGAAGCTAGTAGAAAGCTTGGATATTTCTCATTCTTTTCTTGTTCTAGGATATTTCTCCATCTTTTCTTGTTTTAGGACTGAAATTGAACCTAGAATTCTTCCCCTTGCAGAGAAATTTCCAAATCTGCTCTGCTCTGCTCTTCCTCCCCTGTCCATCAGTTTCTGCTGGGTGCGAATTTCTGGGCATTTTTCGGTAAGCTACAGTCATGGATCTCCTCATTTTAGCCTTAATTTAACTTGGGTTACTCTAAGTTCCTCTTGTTCCTTCAATTTTGGGTTAATTCCGTGAGTCCCCTGCAGAATTGTCGCCGGCTTCTTCCCCCCGCCAGGTCCGGTTCTGCAGCTAGAAAAATTCTGGTATATAACAACTACAATAAGTTCAAATTTTTAGTCCATTTAGCTGTTGTTTTGTTGAATTTATCCATGTAGTGGCTGCCCTTGCACTGTCTGAAAATTTGTTGAAAAATGGGGACGAATTTCAGTAGTAATTAGAGCATAATTAAGCTTAATTCATGTATAAATTGCTTGAGTTGGCTGCTGTGATTTTGGAGGAAAATCTCGAGTGTTTTAGCCCTTGTTTTTGCCAAAGCCGTGCACTTCCCTTTTGCCGTGAGATTAGGAAACCATTTATATATGTATTTGTGTATATAAATGTATATATACACAATCCGATCAATGAAAATAAATATTGAAATGAAATTGCTTAGAGAATTAATTTTTGGATATTTTGATTAGGTTCTTGATCCTTGGGGTACTTTAGTATGTGGATTGAGTCCTCGGTTTTATGCGATTTGAGGTAAGTAAATTATGGTAATACCCTTTGATTTCAAAACATGTTTTAAATCGTTTTTGAGATGGTGGCAAGGTTTAAATTGATTTTGTTGATACCAAGCATGATTGGTTTGAAATGGAATTATTTTCATTTTCATTGAGTAGAGCATGCCTACTTGGAATTTACTTCACTGCTCTGATGATTTGAGAATTCTTGTAAATTATGATTTTTGTTAAATCCATGCCCACATGGGAATTTTACAGTTTATTCTGAAATTTGAGATTGATTGTGAATTACGGATTTTTCTATAAATCTTGCATGATTTTGTCTTTGATATGGTCATGTTATCCATGTGCCCGCTAGTGGGAGTAAACATTAGCACATGTCGACATGTTTACTGATAGGACCGGTTCATTCTGTAATCCTGCCAATGGGATAATACATTGGTAATTTCTAACGACTGCCATTGGGAGAATACATTGGTAATTTCTGATGCTTGCCACTGGGCAAATACATTGGTAAATTCTGACGCCTGCCAATGGGCAAACACATTGGTAATTTCTAATGCCTGCCAGTGGGTATTAAATGCTAGCCATGACTTATAGACGAGACTACTACTGAATTTTCTTCTACATTAACGGTTTTGTCATTGAACGCTTTGTTATTGAACTGAATTTGATTCTGCATTAACGGTTTGCCATTGAACGCTTTGTTATTGAACTGAATTTGATTTTGTATTAACGGCTTATCATTGAACGTTTTGTTATGTTAAATTGTTTATTTGACATGCTTAAAATTTTATCCACGAGCTATCCATATTTTTACTTATTGAGATATTTTATCTCACCTAGTTTTCCTTGTCCACCATTTCAGGAAGCGAAATCAAGGACAGGGAAAAACGAGGGGAGTGACGAGTTAGAAGGCTAGCCTTCTTGTAAATCGAACATAGATTTTAGATATAAATCATGATCTTGTAAGCTTGACTTTATGATGAGAACCCCAAAGAGAACAATGAGACCCACAGCACAACAAGGGATTTCTAAACTCTAGGAAAGCTAAATCAGGTTTATAATAGGACCTTGACCCATTGTTTATGTCGCAACAAGAACCAAAGGTAGAAACCTTGACCCGTTGTCTATGACGCAACAAGAACCAGAGGTATAAAGTTGGTTGACGCCACACCCTCGAGCGATTAAGAACGAGAATGATAAGTCAGGTTAGAACGCCACAAGAATAATCTTGATAAGTTCTATAAATTTCTGAAACGAACCAAAGAGAAAAGTCTCTCAAAATCTCAGATTCAATAGCCTCCTCAATTAGGGTTACAAGCCTCTTTAAATAGGGAAAAGTAATTCTAATCAGAATAGGAAACTAACACCCTAAGCCCTAATCATAATAAC